TTACCAACATCAAAATATAAACAAACTAAAATATACTCAGATCCACCACGAGCAATACGTGATATCTGAAACAACCAGATATTGTTGGAATTCCATCAAAACCTTTGATGAATTTCTATCAATCTTGATGAACATGATTGTTATCACCATACAATTACAATTAAAAGAAAAGAAAATTAAATAAGAAAAGAGATTTAGGGTTTCTGCAGATTCTCTCTGCCTACAAACTGTGGAAAAACTTTTATTCACTTGCAACTGTAAATACTGTGAATGAATGAATTGAATACAAGAGTAGTTTAGGGTTACTCCTTCTATTTATAGTTTTAGGTTAGCTTGCTCTCTAAGCCAAAAATTCCAAAACTATAAAATCCAAAAATACCTATTTTAGAACTAAATCAAATCTGTGTGAAACAACTGCTTCAACACACTATTTAGACTAATTCAACACACCTTGTGTCGAGCAACATCCTTCTTAGACACAAGTAATTACACATTTAACAAATATAAATCTCACCATCTGGGTTTTCCAAACCCATGAGGTTATTTGAAAGAAGTGTTATCCTTTGCAGCCACCACTGGTCATTCATACTAGGTAGAGGTGGTGACACGTCATCTAAAGGTCATCCAACATGAGAATGTACAACATCATCTCAAGGTAGAGAATCTGTTATGAAGTGTGGGTGTGATATTGTAAAGTACCACTCTAAGTAACCATCCAAACACTACACAAGAAATTGCACCTTCACTACATTATCTCTAATAGGAATGTCACCGCTGACAATGTTACATATAAACCATCTATAAATGCCTTTAGATGGCACACTAGGGACTGGTCGAGGGATACCCTGAATATACTCAAATTGGCGCAGACACCTCTCAAGTAAATATAGCCACTGAACTCTTCCACCGCAGATAACTCAAAAACTAGGCAGTGTCATCAAACTCCTTATGCACTTTATGGTCTATGTTTGGTGTTCATATGACATTGTTTATGATTACTGCATTGATCCACTTCCTGTACTCACAAAGACCTTCTAGATAAGAATGCTTGGTCCTCCATCTGGTGGCCTATAGAGAGCCACCAGTGATAAGACCACAAACAAAAATTAAGAGTGTGTTTCTCTTTCTCTGGTCCTCACTACAAAAAAAAAACAAGAATATATAAACAATTAGATTTTTTTTAAATCCAGAAATTAACATTGTTTTACTAGAATTTTTGAAAAATACGGTAACTAACATGCTCTTTTTGGTATTTTTGAAATATCTAGTCCGAATGTATGCATTCTTATCAGACATTAAAAAAATTATGACAAAAAAGTATGTTGGTCACTGTATTTTTCAAAAAAAAATTCAGTAGAAATGCATGTTAAATATGTGATGTTATTGGACATTTTGAAAATGTCGGTAAAAATGCATGTTTTTTCATAAAAATGTGATTGAATCTTAAATTACCGATAAAAACATATTTTAACGAAAGAAGGGCATATTTGAAAATATTCGGTAGATTCAAAAATCTGGTAAATATCACTACTTTTTTAAAATTTCCAAAAAATGATAAATGAAATGTGGAATTGGTTTTTTAGGTGGAAGGTTATAATGGTAAAAGCACATGTATAGGGGATTCCAGGTAAAATTAAAAGGGTGGCATGACAAATTTTCCATAATTAGTGTTCAAATTCCATTGTTGTTAATCAATTTTATCGGACTATAAGAATTTTCAAATGGATCACATTTCCAACTTCAACCCATTTTGTCAAATCAAAACTTACAATTGACTAAAGCCCACAAAAATATTTCTAACTCAATGTTCAAACAACTTGAAGAGGGCTCCTTTGTACACCTCATGGGGTGCTAGCGCACCCTAGTGAAAAATCATAAATGCCCCTCAAATCCAAATATGCATCTTCAGAAGCACATAGAATACACATCGTAACACTTCCTAAGTGAGCCATCCCCAATTTTGCTCAAAATTTAGTATGGAGATGCATCTTTGTATCAATATTAGATTGACTTTGTACCCAATTTTGCTCAAAATTTAGTATGGAGATGCATCTTTGTATCAATATTAGATTGACTTTGTAAGTGCACTTCTGTAATAACTCTGATTTCAAAAGTCAATGTTTTTTAAGAAGATGTATCTCTAGAAGGATTTTAATTCATATAACGTGTGTCCGACTTTTCCCTTTCTTCTTCTTCATTTGTTAAACTATCAAAACACCGAAAGAGCTTGTGTGCAAATTGCAACTAGGTCATTTTTCAAGCTACAACACTATTTCTATCTCATTACATTTAATCTCACTTTCTTTTCTTGAGATGTTATGTATGCAATATTTAATAGGTTGTATAAAGTACATTATGATGTAGTTACAATCATAATATGTAGTTTATTGAAACATGCATTCACATTTTTTTTAAGATTATGGCATATGGAATGTTGGGTTCTGCGTTTCCTTCCATTTTCGTGTTTCTGGCTTTACAAAAATGCATCTCCAAATTATTTCCAATTTTTTATTTTTTTAAATTACGGAGATGCCACTACCATGAAAAAGTGATACCATAGCGGTTGGGGAAGAGCTACCACAACAGCTGACCAACCATTATGAGATAAGGTGTGATTGTATGTATGATATTTTTCATAAGGGTTACACGACCATTGTGATAAACTATGTAGCACGCTATCTATCACAACGGTTGACGTTAACAACCATTGTCATATATAGGGTCATGGGATCGATATTCAGCTGCAACCACAATTAAAGCGCTTACAAAAATTACATTTCACAACAGTTATATGTTCAAATTATTGTGGTATATGTAAGAGTTTATTATAAAATATGGGATTTCTTGTTTTTCCCTGGCTCTCGTTAACCATAAACAACAATTTCAAATAGATTTTTAAGATAATAATATGAAAAATTAAATTATTCTTAAAAAACAACTTAAACGATCCATGCATATTGTAATTCATGATTTCTTTATTAACTCGTAGAATTTGATTCAATCTCAAATTCTTCAAAGTAATGATGATGAATGGATGACTTCTAAGTATTTCACACAAAATTTGATTTCCTCTTCTTTTTTTTTTGCAAACATCGAGCTTTCTGTGAAAGACTCGTACTGGCATTCAATTATCAACATTGTTTTGAAGAGTATGTGACATTGAATCAAATTCTATAGGCTAAAGAGGAAATTATGATTTACAAGATGTATGTAATTCGAAAAAATATTGGATCCTCAAAGTTGTTTTTAAGAATAATTTAATTTTTTTCTGATTATCATCTCAAAAATCTATTTAAATAAATGCAAGTTCAATGAGGGGTTAGTGAAACAAGCAACCACATATAATATAACAAACTCACTAATAAAAATATCAACTAACTAACATAGATTGAGAGAACTTGATAACTAAACGTTCCTGGAAGCTATGAAGAGGATAAAGTAGAAGGAAGAGTAGGAAACATGTGTTCACTATGGAAATATTATATGAAAGACTCATATAATTTTTCCACAGTGAATACAAGTTCGCAATTGTCTTAGATCCATGTTCGCACAACCAGCCGCATCATTGATAAGTAAAGAACCATAACCACTTTCTAGCTGCACATGAAAAACCATTTCTTAAAAAACAACACCAACAACAACATCAATAGCATACAACAACATTTATCAACAACATGCACGCCTTTAATTGAAAAAATAATTGTCTCATTTAAACCCATAACATCCATAATAAAAGGATAATAAAATTGAGGAGTAAGTTGCAAACTTATGTTAACCAAAGTAAATAATATGATCATCATGTCAAGAAACATTTATCTACATTTATCAACAACAACAGTAACATACAACAAAAAACCATGAACTATTGAACAAGAAGAAAATCATATGAAAATGACGTGAAACATAACAACAACATACACGAAACGAGAGAATAAGGAAGAAGAAAAAGAAGAAGAATGCCTTTATCTATGAAGAACAAGATTGACGACTATACTGCAAAATAGGAAAACTAATGACAACGAAGAAGAAAGAAACTGTGTGCTAGGGTTTTGCTGTGAGATACAAAGATATTGTCAAAAAACGAGAGTTAATTCACTTATATATGGGTAAATACCATTCGTGGTAAAATGTAATGCCTTTTACAACAGTTGATTATACCAACTGTGGTGATAAGTGTTTTAATATATATTGATTAACTGATTTATGCCATTTATATTAAGGATATCATAACATCATACAACTTAATATAATTCAAATATATCATATATAAATTCAAAAACATAATCACGATACGTAATTTACTGCCTAAGACTAATGCTTTCTGTTATGAGGATTTATCGAGAGATGCACTTCTGAAATATCAATTTTGCAAAAACTCCCTTCCATCTCAAAACTTTTAGGAATTAGTTCGGAGATGCACTTACATACTCACCTTGCAACAAAAAAATGGAAATGCATCTCTAGAAGTGTCAGTGTGTAATTAAAGTAGGTCTGAATATGCACTTCCAGAATTCAACAAGAATATTTTCGAGTTTCCAAATGGTGATAATTCACCGCATGGGGTGGAAAAAGTAAGCCCCCAACTTGAATCTGCACAAGTCTCTTGAAGAAGATGGTCAAGTGGTCAGAGTGGATTTCAAATAGTGAAATGAAGCAATAAATGTGGAAGAAGGAAGCAATAAATGGATATATCAATATGCTTAATACAAAATTCATAAAGTACAAAGAATACTAATAATTCCAAAATAAATAGTTGCTTAATTTTCTTCCCCCAACTAGTTTTCAGTCAGGATATTATCAATAGCTTATAACTCATACACAGTGACAATGGATTTCTACTCTTCTGACATCCAACCAATCATCATTTAAAGATAAAAGGGTTAAAAAAAAAACAACAATTGATGTAAATTTCCTAAACTTTCTTCCTTGCATTCAACTTGATTGAAGGAACATGGGACATTCTAACTTAGCAAATTGCCCCTATCTATAAATCAATCCCTTTAAGGCTTGAGCAGGAGGGAGAAACCAAACTTAGGACTATTTTCCAATGCCTTTGTTTCAAAGGCGCCAGAGATTGTCAAGAATGACTTATGTGTAAGCTCATGCTGCAATAAGGCCCCAAGATTACCATGGTTATTCAGCTTTGTCTTCACCGTTGTTCGAGGATCAACCACATAAGAACATCCAACCGTCAGCGTGTTCTCATTCGTAGAGAACTTTCTGCTAATTTCTCCCACAAGTGCTCCCCCATTCAATTTTTCTAGCTCGCGCAAGTACGATACCTTCATAGAGTCTCCCTTGTCAGCTCTACAAAAATGAAACAAAACAAGTAACCCTTATTCAACAAATCTTCTAAAGGTGGTGTCTTAAAACAGCATCACACATCAGCATCTAAAATACCTGAGTTACTTACAAAATGACAGAAGCATGTGAACTCAGCATCTTCAAGCACAATCCAGCATTATACTTTGTAAACTTCCCAACACTCGTGGAGTAGGTAGTTTCCGCACCAAACACAATGCTAGGAGTACCAATCGTCGCAGATAAATCAATAGCAGGATTGCGATTCAAATCAACAGAAGTAGTAAAACCAGCATGATCATGAAGATATTGAATCTCAATCTACGTAAAACAAAATACACAATCATCAAAACTTCAAAACTATATAACGCTACGATATTTTCCCATTGCCAAATCCAATCTCATATACCAAACAGTCCAAACAATCCTCCATAGTACGTACCTTGCCGGATTTGTAATCAGGTAATCGAATAGAAGCAACGGCTTTCGCAGAAGGCACGAAATCTATGAGAGTAAATGTCGTCAACACCTGAGAAACATATACATATACATATTACAACACAGTTAAGAAAAGCAGAAAAATATAACTTAATTTTAAATCAATTAGACCGAAAATCGAGAGATTATATACACTGGATTCAGTATCAAGTTTGAAATGAAGAGATTTGTTATTGTGGTTAATCTGAGCAGCAACATCACCAGAGGAAAGTCCTCTACTCTTCAGTAACGTTGAATTCAAATCCTGAAATAACGAGAATCAATAATAATTGATACAAATTATGAAATCAATGAAGTAGAAATGATGAAAAGTAGTTACGCACGATGCCGGAGTTTGTGGAGGAGGAGATTGTGAATCGTTGATCGGAGTTGTACTCTTTGGTGAGGATATCTGCGACGGAATTGGGATCGGAAATTCAAATCGGAAAGAGAATGAGAAAAGTGTGAAATCGAGAGAGTGAGTTTACCTCTGGATATTTTTCCGATGTCGGAGAAGAGACCGGGGCCTTTGGAAGACATCGTTGCTGAACGGCGAAATGAAGAAGAAAGGGTTTATGTAAAACCCTTCTCTCTCTCTCTCTGTATTCAAAAAGCAAAGGAAAAAAAGAGAATGGAAAAAGAACGAAAAATAATACATGCTTTCAATGAGAGTTGAACTCATGACCTCCCGCTTACTAAACGGGTGCTCTAACCAACTGAGCTATGAAAGCTTGTTGATTAAAATGCAATTATAAAAACATATAATACAAAACTATACAAATAAATGATTTCTAGTAAAAGGTATTTTAGTATTTTTAATTGTTTTTTATAACTTAGTTATTAAGTTTATTCTATTAGGGTCTATTTGATATTCCTTTTTGTGTATAAATAGACTAGTTGTAATTGTCATAAATACAACAACAACATTATTCCTCTTGTAGCTTTTACAATCGTCATTCTCTTTGTTTTCATAAATATGTTTCTTTTGTTCATCATCACTTTGAGCACCAATAAATTGGTATCTAGAGTTTCGATTGTGATTCACGGGGAAACATGAGTGAAAGGGTGAGACGTTGTGTAATTGATTTTGGTTATTGAATGTTGAATCTTGAACAAAATCATATTTTCTGATTCTAAGGGATTGGGAAACACTGCGTTTAGTGAGATCTGAGTGTTTTGTACAAGGTTGAAGATGAACAGAAATGGTAATCTGAGTACCAAACTTTCTGTTTTTGATGACAAGAACTGGAATAGATGGATGATTCAGATGCGCGTGTTATTTGGTGCTCAGGATGCTCTTGAGCTTGTTACCAGTGGGTATGTTCTGGTTGCAGCAGATGCAACAGAAGAAGAGAGAAATGAACAGAGAGACAAGAGGAAGAAAGATCTGAATGTGTTGTTCTACATCCATCAGTGTGTGGATGTGAATGTGTTTGAGAAAATTGTCGATTCGACGACAGCGAATGAGGCATGGGATACACTGGCCAAATGTTATGATGGTGGCGTATCAGTGAAGAAGGTGAAGCTTCAGTCCCTGCGAAAGCAATATGAGAATCTCAACATGAAGAAAAATGAGAAGGTTTCTGAGTACATCTCTAGAGTGATTCTGATCACTAATGAGATGAAAGCTTGTGGAGAAACTCTTTCTGAACAAGTAACCATTGAGAAGATATTGAGGTCACTTACTCCTCAATTTGATTACATTGTTATAGCAATTGAACATTCTAAAGATCTGGACACCATGAAAATATAAGAGATGCAAAGCAGTCTAGAGGCGCAAGAGTTGCGTCTGATTGAAAGAACTTTTGAGTGGGAAGTTGAGTAGGCTATGAAGGCTTCTTTTGTCAAGAAGGACCAGAAGCATTCTTGATCAGAAACCAAGAATAGACGTGGTGATAGATTCCATAAGTCAGAAACCTCTATTTCTGATGAGAAGAAATATCATAAGGGAAAAGGTAAGTTTGTCAAGAAGAAGGTTCAATGTTATTGTTGTAATCAGTTTGACCATTTTGCTAAAGATTATTGGTCAAATAAGGGAAGGAAATCATAAGAAGTAAATATAGCCAAAGGAGATTCTGATGATGAACCTGTGCGATTGATGGCTTATGGGTCTCATGGAAAGTGTTTGGCAGACTGGTGGTATATAGACATTGGCTGTTCAAATCACTTGACTGGAAATAAATAATGGCTGATAGATTTTGACTCCAGAAGAAGGACAAAAATCAGATGTGCTGATGATAACTACCTTAATGCAGAAGGTATGGGAAATTTCAAAGTTAAAGTGAAGAATGGGAAGACCATTCTGATCAAAGATGTTTGGTATGTTCTTGGAATTAAGAGCAATCTGATTAGTGTGGGTCAGCTCATTAAGAAAGATTTCTCAGTTATTATGAAGAACAATCTTTTGAAGTTGTATGATTCCAATCAGAAGCTGTTATGCAATCTGAGCAGAGAAGCAACAAAACATTCAAGGTGGATGTAGAAACAGCTGAAACAGAGTGCCTTAGTGCATAAGGCGCTAAAGATGATAGTAAGTGATGACACACAAATATGTGATATTTCTGGCTTGATATACACAAAATATTTCTCATACTTTAGTTTAAATTAAATTATTTTATAGGTATTATGCAGGTATTTTTCTATTTTTGCAGATATACATTAAGCTGAACACTTTGGAAGAAATGAAGAAAAAAAGGTGCAAAGATAGCAAAAAGGGCCAAAGGAGAAGAAATCAGCTTAAGCCCATCAAGCATGTGAGCACGTGGCCCACCATGAAGAAGACCTTGACAATCGTCAAGGAGCATTGCCGGTCGTCACGCATTGAGATGGACCAAGTGACCATCGTCACTTGGACGTGACGAACGTCACAAGGCCATTTTCTCCCACTTTCTCCACGTATCCAACGGAAGGAAACCAATTCAAAACAAATCCAACGATCACCCTCTATTATCTGATCCACTCAGTCAAAGCATGAGGAACGTAACAAAATTAGTGGTCCTATTATTTCTTAAAGGAACACAAACTGTTCCTACATTTCCGAGAACGAACTGATCACACAAGAGTTATAAATAGGGCCTTGGACCATACGAGAAGAGAGTTCTTTTTTTGGCAGAAACTTTGGAGAATTCATATTTACTTTTAGCAAATATTCTTTAAGCATTATTTTATTTCCCAGCAATTTCTATATTTCCTCTAGCATTATTTTCATTGTACGGTTACATCTGTTCTCCGATCGAAGCAAAGCCTACAGTTTGTGCAGGAGTGCTTCTATCTTCAGAATTATTACCAGGTTTATGTTTACGAATTTTTATTACTTTTAATCAATATAATTATGTTTATTTTCGTATGTCTCTTGAATTATTCTGTGATTTGGTCTGATATTATGTTAGGATAGAATTCGTATACCGGTATGTAAGGTCACTTAACCAAGGGAACGAGTAACTTAGTTGGGATTATTTTTATTACAAAACCTTCTTTTCTGGCCTAAGTTACTATTTTTAATCATTAAATTGTTTTGTTACGAAAGTAAAGAACAGATAGAGGTTAGGGTCAACAAAGCGGAAGTTTGAGATCTTTTAACTAGACAGTAGTAATTAGGCATTAGCTTAAAATACAGCGGAAGCACTTTAAAGTTAATTAAGATTTTATTTAGTTTTCAAAAGGTGTTTTTAACTCCTGCGGGATGGCGGAAGCGTACGTTAGGACTCAACTGTATAGCCTAGATCAACAAAACGACAGTGTGAGACGAGGGTTTTTAAACTAAATAAGTTTTACTGAAAGCTGTTTTGAAAATATAAAGACACCCAACCGGTCGCTAGTTCCCGAGGTTTGACTATTGCATACTGGTAATTACGCTCATTGATTATTAAAAATCCAACTTAATTTAGTGTTTAGTTTTCCCTACAACCCAATCAAACATTCATTAGCTTTAGATTTGCGAAGTAACAATAGAAGACGATAGATCGATTCATCAGTCTCCGTGGTTCGATATCTTTTAAAACTACACGATAAGACTGTGCACTTGCGTCAGAATCATTGGATACCTAAGTATAAATCCTCGATCAAGTTTTTGGCGTCGTTGCCGGGGACTGATTTAAGTCGATATTGCTACTCTTTTGTTACGCAGTAGAGACTAGAGCAAAAACCTCTCTATTTCTTTTCTATTTCTTTTCTTATTTGTATGCCAAACACTCGTTCGCAAGGCAAGCCGTTATACATACAAATCAATGATATCGAGCGGTATCTCAGACTTAGACGCCTCATTCAAGAGTATCATCTCTTGCATAACACTCAACCTCGTCAAACACTCGAATCTCCTATTCCTCGACCAACCAAAGAAATGGTTGCCAATCCTGCTCCGAGCCCACTCAAATCCTACGCTATTCCCTCACAAGATGAACCGCACAATATCATTGTTGCTCCTCCAATCGAGGCTAACAACTTTGAACTGAAACCTTTTTTGTTGTCTTCTGTACAACAGAACCAGTTCTCTGGTGGGTCAATGGAAGACCCTAATCTTCATCTATCAATATTTCTACAGTACGCAGATACAATTAAGAACAATGGGGTCAGTCAAGAGGCAATAAGACTTCGTCTCTTCCATTTTTCTCTAAGAGACAGAGACAGAGCTTGGCTCCAATCTCTACCCGCAAACTCAGTCACTACATGGGATGAGTTGAAGAAAGTATTTCTTGCAAGGTATTTCCCGCCAAGCAAAACAACTATGCTAAGATCTCAAATAAGCGATTTTAGACAAAAGGAAAACGAATCCCTTTTTGATGCTTGGGAACGATACAAGGATCTAATGAGACTATGCCCACATCATGGCTTAGAGGAATGGTTGATTATCCATACCTTCTATAATGGTCTCCTTTACAATACAAGATTAACGATAGACGCTGCTGCAGGAGGTGCACTTATGGACAAATCCTACACCGCTGCCTATGCTCTAATAGAAAGCATGGCCCAAAACCACTATCAGTGGGGAAGTGAAAGAGGACAAGTAGACAAAGTTACTGTAGAGAAAACACCGACGAAAGGAGGCATGTATGAGATAAGCGATCTAGACAGTGTCCATGCTAAGGTAGATGCCCTCACCCTAAAGATAGATAATTTGACCGCAATACCTCCAGCCACCGTGGCTGCTATAACTCCCAATTGCGAAATATGCGGAGTACCTGGACATTTAGTTACCGAATGTAAGATCTTAGCAGGAACTCCAACTGACCAAGTTAGTTATACTCAAGGAAACCCTTACTCAAACACATACAACCCTGGATGGAAAAATCACCCAAATCTCTCATATAAAAACCCCAATGCGTTGTATGCTCCAAACCAAGCACCTGCCGTGCCACCTGGATATCAGAAACCTCCTGCAAATGCTCCTAGTATGCCTAGAAAATCAAACTTAGAATTGATGATGGAGAACTTCATAGCTACCCAAGCGCAAATAAACAAAGACGTCCAAAATCAAAACATACACACTAACGAGCAGATAAAACAATTAGCAAACAAAATAGATGCTTTGGCCACCCACAATA